TGGAAATGCCGCAGCGCGCAGAACTGCAGTCGCTGCAGGGGGGGAAACACAGGGGGGTTGGGGTAAAAATGGGGGGGTTTGGGCAAAAATATAGGAGATTTTGGGAAAATATAGGAGATTTTGGGGAAAAACGGGGGGATTTTGGGGAAAAAGGGGGCATTCTGGAAAAAAAAATGGGGTTTTTTTGGGAGAAAAAAGGGGATTTGGGGAGAAGAAATGGGGATTTTTGGGGAAAAAATAGGAGATTTCAGGGGAAAAAATGGGCATTCTGGGAGAAAAAAGGGGGGGTTGGGGGAAAATATAGGAGATTTTGGGGAAAATACAGGAGATTTTGGGGGAAAAAAAGGGGATTTGGGGTGTGGGCAGAGGATGGAAATCCCGCAGCGCGCAGAACTGCAGCCGCTGCAGGGGGGGAAAACGGGGATTTTGGGAGAAAAGGGGATTTTGGGGGGAAAACGGGGGATTTAGGGAAAAAAGGGGGATTTTGGGGGGAAAATGGGGGATTTGAGCGGAAAAACAGGGATTTTGGGGAGAAGAAACAAGGATTTTGGGGGAAAAAACAAGGATTTTTTTTTGGGAAAAGACGGATTTTGGGGTGAAAAATGGGGTTTTTGGGGAAAAAGGGAGGTTTTGGGGAAAAAAGGGGAACAGGGAGTTGGGAATTCTCCCAGTTTAAAGGAACAGGAAATTAGGAATTCTCCTAATTTCAGGAGAACAGGAATTGGCAATTCTGCTCCCACAGAGGGACGGGAAAATGGGGAATTCTCCCAATTTTAGAGGAACAGAAAATGGGGAATTCTCCCAACCCCACGGGCTCAGGAATTGGGAAATTCTCAGGGGCAAAGCCCAGCCCCATCTGGGGGCTCTGGAATCCCAAAACCTTGTCCTTTAGGAATTCCCAGGGGATCAGGATCCCAAAACCTCGTCCCGAGGAATTCCCAGGGGATCAGGATCCCAAAACCTCGTCCCCAGGAATTCCCAGGGGATCAGGATCCCAAAACCTCGTCCCCAGGAATTCCCAGGGGATCAAATCCCAAAACCTCATCCCGAGGAGTTCCCAGGGGATCAAATCCCAAAACCTCGTCCCCAGGAATTCCCAGGGGATCAGGATCCCAAAACCTCATCCCGAGGAATTCCCAGGGGATCAGGGCCCGGCAGCTGCTCCTGGTGGCATTTGGGGACATTCCCAGGGGACATTCCCAGCACCCCAGGAACCCCAAAGGAATCCCAAAGGAATCCCAAAGGAATCCCAAAGGAATCCCAAAACCCTGGGGCAGGAAATTCCAGCTGGGAGGGGACAGAGAGGGGTGGGGGACACTGGGGAGGGATTTGGGGCACCCCAAAAGGGATTTGGGGCCACCCTGGAAGCTCTTTGGGCCACCAAAGAATGAAGGAAGCAGCAGAGGTTTTTGGGATCCATGCCAGGGTTTTTGGGGGTCTATCCCGGGTTTTATTCCAGGGTTTTGGGGTCATATCTCAGGATTTTGGGGTCATATCCCAGGATTTTGAGGTCTCTATTGGTGTTTTTGGGGTCTGTATCGGTGTTTTTGGGGTCTGTATCGGTGTTTTTGGGTTTTTAGGGTTTGGGATCACTGACCTTTTTGACCATGGTGGTCTCAGGCGGCTCCAGCCGGGCCCGTTTGGGGTTTGGTTTTGGGGTCTATCCCAGGGTTAGGAGGTGAAATTCCCACATTTTGGGGATGTTTGTGAGGGGGAAACCCCAGGGGTGGAGAGGATGAAACTCCTAGATTTTGGGAATGTTCCTGAGGGATGGAGGAGGTGAAATTCCCACATTTTCAGGACGTTCCTGAGGGACAGAGGTGATGAAACCCCCACATTTTGGGGATGATTGTGAGGGGAAAAAACCCAGGGGTGGAGGTGATGAAACCCCCATGTTTTGAGGATGCTCCTGAGAGATGGAGGAGGTGAAATTCCCACATTTTGGGGTATTCCCACAATCCAGGTGTGTCCCCAGGTGCATGCCCCCCTCACCTGTTGGTGGTCCAGCAGGGTGAGGCCCCTGACCCCGGCCAGGATGAGATTTTTGGCCACCTCGGCCCCCAGCCCACGCAGCCCCACCAGCAGCACCCGCGACGCCCGTAACCTGTGAGGGGATCCCGGGAGAAAACAGGATTTATCCTCCAGGAAACCCTACAGAACGGGGATGTGGGACCCCAAAACTCCTACAGAGCGACCCCTAAACCCTGTGGGGACCCCCCAAGATCAAATAAGGACCCCCAGACCCCTACAGAGCCATCCCAAACCCCCACAGGGACCCCCAGACCCCTATAGAGCCACCCCAAACCCCCATAGGGACCCCCAGACCCCTACAGAGCCACCCCAAACCTCCATGGGGACCGCCAGACCCCTATAGAGCCACCCCAAACCTCTATGGGGACCCCCAGATCCCTACAGGGACCCCCAAGAGCCCCTACAGAGCCCCCTTAAAGCTCCTGTGGAGCTCCTGTAATTCCTGCAGGGTTCTTACCCCCTCCCCAGATGGCCCCCAAAGCCCATATAGAGACACCCACACAACCCCCTCCAGCCCCACCGACCGTTTCTGGGCCTCGAGCCCCCAGAGCCGGATCTGCCGGTCGTACTGAGCCGCCTCCTCCTCGCTGATGCCTCCAGGGCTGGACTCGTCCTTCTCCACCATCGCGGCGGCCCCCGAGACCCCCCTCAGGATCACTCAAAGCCCCTTACGACCCCTCAAAGCCCCTGTGAGCTTTCAAACCCCTTCTGGACACCTCACAGCTCCTCACGGGCCATCAAAGCCCCTCCAGGCCCCTCAAAGCCCCTCACGACCCCCAGACCCCTCACGGCCCCTCAAAGCCCCTCACGCAACTCGCGGCGCCCCCTGGCGGCCCGCGCAAAGCCCCGCGCCCGCCGCCGCTCCACATCCCTCCGGGAGGGGGGGGGACGCACCGAATGCGCTCCCGGTACCCGCGGCCCCTCAGGAGAAAAGAACGACCAGAATTTTTTTTCTGCCGCCGTTTCACCCCGGTGTGACGGCGTGAGGCCGTGGTCACGGGTTTTGGGGCCCTGCCCGTGCGCCGTGTGGCACAACCCGTGTCGTTTCCCCCCCTCTTTCCACACTCAGATGGACTCGTCCTCCTCCCATTGCGGGCGTTCCCGCCGTCCCCCATCGCTTCGTCAATCTCCGTCGGCCTCGGTGTCGTTTCCCCCCCTCTTTCCACACTCAGATGGACTCGTCCTCCTCCCATTGCGGGCGTTCCCGCCATCCCCCATCGGCTTCGTCAATCTCCGTCAGCCTCGTTTAGGAGACTTTCGGAAACGTTCCGAGCGCGCCTTCGTCAACCTTCGGAGGTCTTCGGAACGCGTCGGAGAACTTCGGCAACACTCGGAGAGTCTTGAGAACTTCGCGGAAATCCCAGGATTTCCCCATCCCAAAGGAACGAAGCGGCCAAACCGGTGCAAAAACCCCGTCAATAATTAGAAAAATCGGGGGTTTGGAGGTTGTTTTCTCCTGGTTTTATAAAATCTATGTTGTTTTTTCCCCAAGTCACACGCACATCCCTTCCCGCTCCTCTCACCTCGCACAATTTTCCTATAAACTCAGGAAATTCGCGATATTTCGGGGGTTTGGTGGTTTTTTTTATGCCGAGCGACATTTGCATGTGGAGAAACATCTCGTGACCAGTGGAAATTCCCTGTCCTGAGCTGAACTCCAGGCGGGAAGAGGATTTTGGGAGAACATTGAGTCCAATCATCAACGGGCACCGTGGATTTGGGAGGGGTTTTGGGTCGGGAAAGACCAATCCGTGAGGGGAAAAGACTCCAAATCTCCTTATAAAACTTTCTTCCCCTAAAATTTCACGCTAAAACTCTTTAAGAAGATTTCCCACATACGAAGACTTCCGGACACATTCGGAGAACGCCGTGAGAATCCGGAGAGCTTCGGAGACGCTCGGCATCAACCGGAAAAACCCGACGAGCACTTCGTGCATCCCCGCCACCTTTCGGCACCCTCCGAAGCGGCAGCACTCGGCTGTTTCCGGCGGCGCTCGGCTGTTTCCGGCGGCCGTCGGGGCGCTGCCTCAGGGCGGGCGCCATTTTGTGTGTCCGCCCGCGCAGCGCGGGGCGCGGGCGGAGGAGCCGCCGGGCCGAGCCCCCCGCGCCGTTCAGTGACTGTGCCCCCCGTTCTCCACCCCCTGCCCGTTGCCCATGGCCGTGGAGAGCCCGAGTGTCCCCCCCGCCGCCGCCGCCTCCCCCCCCAGCCCGCACTGCACTCCCCCTTCTCCGTCCTGCCACGGCAGCTGCAGCCTCCCCCGGCCGCCGCCGCCGCTCCAAGGCCACCATCACGGCCCGGACGAAAGGTCCAGTAACCGCCTCTCCCGAGCGCCTTCTCTGTGTGGCTGGGGGTCGGTCCGGCGCGCCGGACCAAGAGGGGATGAAGGCAGTGCAGGCCTCGGGGTGGGCCTGAGGGGATTTGGGGACATTTTGGGGGGATTTTTGAGGGCTGATCCCTGAGGGGGGGATTTAGGTCAATTTTGGGGGGTGCTGGGGGGGCTTCACCCAAATTTTGGGGGGTTTGAGTCCTCCCTGAGGGGTTCCTGCCCCTTTTTTAGGGGATTGCTTTTGGGGAGGGGCTTGAATTTCTTAATAGGGAAGACTAAAACTCATTTTTGGGGGTGATCTCAAGGTTTGGGGGGTTTTACACCCTATTTTGGGGGTTGAACCCCTATTTTGGGGGATTTCAGACCCTTTTTGGGGGGTTAACCCCTATTTTGGGGGATTTCAGACCCTTTTTGGGGGGTTAACCCCTATTTTGGGGGACTTCACACCCTTTTTGGGGGGTTAACCCCTATTTTAGGGGATTTTAGACCCTTTTTGGGGGTTTAACCCCTATTTTGGGGGAATTCAGACCCTTTTTGGGGGTTTAAATCCTATTTTGGGGGAATTCAGACCCTTTTTGGGGGTTTAAATCCTATTTTGGGGGAATTCAGACCCTTTTTGGGGGTTTAACCCCTATTTTGGGGGAATTCAGACCCTTTTTGGGGGGTTAACCCCTATTTTGGGGGACTTCACACCCTTTTTGGGGGGTTAACCCCTATTTTAGGGGATTTTAGACCCTTTTTGGGGGGTTAACCCCTATTTTGGGGGATTTCAGACCATTTTTGGGGGTTTAACCCCTATTTTGGGGGAATTCAGACCCTTTTTGGGTGTTTAACTCCTATTTTGGGGGATTTTAGACCTTTTTTGGGGGGTGTTGACCCCTTTTTGGGGTTAAAATCCTAATTTAGGGGGATTTTAGGGTTTCAGCTCCTTTTGGGGAACTTTGACTTCCAGAGGGGGGCTCTAGTTGGGTTTTTGGGGGGATTTAGGGTTTTTTTGGGGTCTTTTTTGGGATTTAACCCTTTTTTTAGGGATATTTAGGGTACTTAAAGGGGTTTAACCCCTTTTTTGGGGGTTTTAGACCCTTTTTGGGGGGTTTAACCCCTTTTTATGGGGATTTAAATCCTAATTTGGGGGGATTTTAGGGGTTCAGCTCCTTTTGAGGAACTTTTACTCCCAGAGGGGGGCTCTAGTTGGGTTTTTGGTTTTTTTTTTGTGGGGATTTAATTATTTTTTAAGGAATATTTGGGTGCTGGGGGGGGTTAACCCAAATTTCGGGGGATTTTATTTTTTTGGGGGGGGGTGATCCTTAATAAGTTCTTTATTCCCTCCCAAAAATTCCATTTATTTCCTTAAAATCCCCCAAATTTGGATCAGAAAGTTTGGAGGGTCCCTGCAGGGATTTCAAATGTTCCAAAATCTCCAAATCTGCCCCCAAAAATCCCCTTTTTCCACTTTTTGGGACCCCTCCCCAAAACAACTTTGAGCCATTTCTGGGATTTCCATTTTTTTTTGATAGTTCAACCCAAATAATGTGAGAAAAAGAGAAAAAAAAGGTGAAATCAGGGAGGTTTTGGGGGAATTTGTAGGAAAAAAAGTAAATTTGGGGAGTTTTGAGAGTGTTTTTAAGGAAAAAAAAGTGACTTTGGGGATTTTTTTAGGGAAAAAAGTGAATTTTTAGGGGAAAAAAGTGAATTCAGGGAGTTTAAAGGGTGTTTGTAGGGAAAAGAGGGAGTTTGGGGGATATTTTTAGGGGAAAAAAGTGAATTTTTAGGGGTTTTTTTAGGAAAAAAATGAATTTTTGGGGAAAAAAGATAAATCTGAGGAGTTTGGGGGTGTTTTTAGGAAGCAAAGGGTAATTAAGGGAATTTGGGGATGTTTTTTAGGATAAAAAGGGGAATCCAGGGGGTATTTTTAGAAAAAAAGTTGAAATAAGGGAATTTTGGGAGCATTTTTAGGGGAAAAAGTGAATTTTTAGGGAGAAAAAAGTAAATTCAGGGAGTTTGGGGAAAGTTTTAGTGAAAAAAAAAAAAGCAAATTAAGGGAGGGTGTCTAGGAGTGTCCAGGTGTGCTCAGCTGTCCCCAGGTGTGTCCCCAGGTGTGTCCAGGTGAGCCCCAGGTGTGTCTAGGGGTCCCCAGATGTGTCCAGGTGTGCTCAGCTGTCCCTAGGTGTGTCTAGGAGTGTCCAGGTGTGCTCAGCTGTCCCCAGGTGTGTCCCCAGGTGTGTCTAGGGGTGTCCAGATGTGTCCAGCTGTCCCCAGGTGTGTCCCAGATGTGTCCAGGTGTGCTCAGCTATCCCTAGGTTTGTCCAGGTGGGTCCCCAGGTGTGTCCAGGTGTGCTCAGCTGTGCCCAGGTGTGTCCCAGATGTGTCCAGGTGTCCCCAGGTGTGTCCCAGGTATCCCCAGGTGTGTCCAGATATGTCCAGCTGTCCCCAGATGTGTCCAGGTGTGCTCAGCTGTCCCTAGGTTTGTCCAGGTGGGTCCCCAGGTGTGTCCCAGGTATGCCCAGCTGTGCCCCAGCTGTGCCCAGGTATGTCCCAGGTGTGTCCCAGGTGTACCCCACATGTGTTCCAGTGTGCCCCAGGGGTGCCCAGGTGTCCTCAGTTGTGCCCAGGTGTGTCCCAGGCATCCCCAGCTGTGCTCAGGTGTGTCCCAGGTGTCCCCAGATATGTACCAGCTGTGCCCCAGGTGTCCCCAGGTGTGTCCCAGGTGTCCCCAGGTGTGTCCCAGGCATCCCCAGGTGTGCCCAAGTGTGTCTCAACTGTGCAGGTGTGCCCCAGATGTGCCCAGGTGTGTCCCAGGCATCCCCAGCTGTGTCTCAGCTGTGTCCCCAGGGGTGCCCAACTGTGCCCCAGTTGTTCCCAGGTGTGTCCCAGGTGTGCCCAAGTGTGTCTCAACTGTGCAGGTGTGCCCCAGGGGTACCCAGCTGTGCCCAGGTATGTCCCAGCTGTGCCCAGGTATGCCCCAGCTGTGCCCCAATTGTTCTCAGGCATGTCCCAGGCATCCCCAGCTGTGCCCAGGTGTCCCCACATGTGCCCAGGTGTGCCCCAGGGGTACCCCATTGTGCCCCAGCTGTGTCCAGGTGTGCCCCAGGGGTCCCCAGCTGTGCCCAGGTATGTCCCAGGTGTGTCCCAGCAATCCCCAGGTGTGCCCCAGGGGTACCCCATTGTGCCCCAGCTGTGTCCAGGTATGTCCCCGGCATCCCCAGCTGTGCCCAGGTGTCCCCAGGGGTACCCCACTGTGCCCCAGGTGTGTCCTAGGTGTCCCCAGCTGTGTCCAGGTGTGCTGAGATGTCCCCCGGGTGTGCCCAGGTGTGTCCCAGCTGTCCCCAGGTGTGCTCAGATGTGTCCCAGGTGTCCCCCAGCTGTCTGAGGTGTGCCCCAGCTGTCCCCCGCTGTGCCTCAGGTGTCCCAGTGTGTCCAGGTGTGCTCCAGGTGTGCTCAGGTGTGCTCAGGTGTCCCTGAGCTGTCCCCAGCTGTCTGAGGTGTGCCCCAGCTGTGCCTCAGGTGTCCCAGTGTGTCCAGGTGTGCTCAGATGTCCCCCAGGTGTGTCCCAGGTATGCCCAGATGTGTCACAGGGGTGCCCAAGTGTGCCCCAGGTGCGCGTCAGGTGTCCCAGTATGTCCAGGTGTGTCCCAGCTGTGCTCAGATGTGTCCCAGGTGTGCCCCAGGTGTGTCCCAGGTATGCCCACATGTGTCGCAGAGGTGCCCAGGTGTGCCACATGTGTCACAGGGGTGCCCAAGTGTGCCCCAGGTGTCCCAGTGTGCCCAGCCATTTTCCCCCAAAAACCCCATAAAAATCCCATTTTTTCCCCAAAAAACCCGATTTTTTTTCCAAAAAACCCCGTTTTTTCCCCTGAAAATTCCCATTTTTCCCCAGAAAGGATGTGCAGCTGCAGGAGGATCCACAATTCCCATTTTCCTCTCCAAACCCCACCCAATTCCTGCCATTTTCCCCCCAAGAAACCCATTGAAATCCCATTTTTTCCCTGAAAAATCCCATTTTTTCCCCCAAAAATTCCCATTTTTTTCCCCCAAAACCCCATAAAACCCCATTATTTTTTCTCAGGGAGGATGAGGAGCTGCACAAGGATCCACAATTCCCATTTTCCTCCCCAAACCCCACCCAATTCTTGCCATTTTCCCCCAAAAACCCCATAAAAATCCCATTTTTTCCCCAAAAAACCCGATTTTTTTTCCAAAAAACCCCATTTTTTCCCCTGAAAATTCCCATTTTTCCCCCAGAAAGGATGTGCAGCTGCAGGAGGATCCACAATTCCCATTTTCCTCTCCAAACCCCATCCAATTCCTGCCATTTTCCCCCAAAAACCCCATAAAAATCCCATTTTTTCCCAAAAAACCCCATTTTTTCCCCGAAAAACCCCATTTTTTCCCCCAAAACCCCCTAAAATCCCCGTTATTTTTGCAGGGAGGATGAGGAGCCACAGGAGGATCCACAATTCCCATTTTCCTCCCCAAACCCCATCCAATTCCTGCCATTTTCCCCCCAAAAACCCCATTTTTTTTCCCGAAAAATCCCGTTTTTTCACTGAAAACCCCATTTTTTCCCCCAAAACCTCCTAAAATCCCCGTTTTTCCCACAGGGAGGATGAGAAATGTGTTCCAGTTAATAAAAGATGAACACAACTGAAAATATTTTTTTCTTAAAAGTGATGTGATAAGATGGATTACAGACATTCTACTAATGGAAAAAAGCAATTTCCAGAGCAACAATCAACGGTTTAGTTTTATGTAAATAGTATGAAAGAAGTTTTATATTAATGGATGGGGATATGTAATTCTTTTGGAAGCTAATAAGAAAGGATTTTACAATGTAGAACACATTTTCAAAGCACTGTCTTAAAAAGATGACATAGCTTCCTCCATAGAATTTCTGTCTCATTTTTCTTCTGTGTTCATCTTCCTTTTCTTTTCCTTGGTAATTTTCTTCTCCTTGTTCTGATATGACCTTGTTTTTCTCAATTATATTTTTTATAATTCATTTTTTTTCCCGAAAAATCCCGTTTTTTCACTGAAAACCCCATTTTTTCCCCCAAAACCTCCTAAAATCCCCGTTTTTCCCACAGGGAGGATGAGGAGCCACAGGAGGATCCACAATTCCCATTTTCCTCTGCAAACCCCATCCAATTATTGCGATTTTCCCCCAAAAACCCCATAAAAATCCCATTTTTTCACTGAAAAATCCCATTTTTTCTCAGAAAACCCCCATTTTCCCCCCCAAAACCTCACAAATCCCCATATTTTCCCCCAGGGAGGATGGGGAGCTGGAGGAGGGCGAGCTGGAGGACGACGGGGGCGACGAGGCCCCCGCGGCCCCGCGCTCCCGTTCCCGCTCCCGGCGCCGCAGCGCCTCCCCCGAGGAGCGCGGCCACCGGCGCCTCAAGCGCAAGCGCCGCAAGGACAAGGACAAGAGGAGGTCCAAGAAGAAGAGGAAATCCAAGCACAAGGTGGGCGATTCCCGTGGAATTCGGGGGAAAATCCGGGATTTTCCACGTTTTTTGGGGCTTTTTCCGGGTGTTTCTGGGTTTTTTCGGCTTTTTTTAGGGGTTTTTTTGGGGGGTTTTCCATTTTTTTCATGGTTTTTCCCATTGGAAATCGCTTAATTCCTGCAAAATCCCAATTTTTTGTGTTGTGATGGTGGGATTTATGTGAGAATTTCCCTTAAATTCCAGGAGAAATCAATTTTTTTGTGTTCTAACACTCAAATTTTCATGAGAATTTTCCTCAAATTCCAGGAGAAATCCATTTTTTAGTTCCCACCTGGAATTTGGGGTTTTGGGAGGGGGTCTGAGTTTTTCCTCGTTTTTTCCCACTGGAAATCACTTAAATCCTGCCCAAATCCCAATTTTTTGAGTTGTAACGCTGGGATTTATGTGAGAATTTCCCTCAAATTCCAGGAAAAATCCATTTTTTAATTCCGCCCTGGAATTTGGAATTTTGGGGGTTCCCAGGCTTTTTCTGGGCTCCTTCCCATTGGAGATTGCTTAAATCCTGCCAAAATTGGGATGGAATTCCAGGGGTTGGGAAGGGAATTCCAGGGTTGGGAAGGTTTGGGGTTTTGGGAGGGGGTCTGAGTTTTTCCTCGTTTTTTCCCACTGGAAATCACTTAAATCCTGCCCAAATCCCAATTTTTTGAGTTGTAACGCTGGGATTTATGTGAGAATTTCCCTCAAATTCCAGGAAAAATCCATTTTTTAATTCCGCCCTGGAATTTGGAATTTTGGGGGTTCCCAGGCTTTTTCTGGGCTCCTTCCCATTGGAGATTGCTTAAATCCTGCCAAAATTGGGATGGAATTCCAGGGGTTGGGAAGGGAATTCCAGGGTTGGGAAGGGAATTCCAGGGATTAGGTTGGAATTCCAGAGGTTAGGTTGGAATTGCAGGATCTGGGAAGGGAATTCCGGAGTCTGGGAAGGGAATTCCAGGCTCTGGGAAGGGCTCAGGGCTGATTTTCCCAGGGTTTTCCCAGGAAATTTGGGAATTCCAGTGTGGGGAAGGGGAATTCCAGGGGTTAGGTTGGAATTCCAGGATCTGGGAAGGGAATTCCAGGGGTTAGGTTGGAATTCCAAGGGTTAGGTTGGAATTCCAGGGGTTAGGTTGGAATTCCAGGATCTGGGAAGGGAATTCCAGGGGTTAGGTTGGAATCCCAGGCTTGGGCAGGGAATTCTGGGCTGACATTCCCGGATTTCCAGCGGCACGCCTCCTCCAGCGAGGATTTGTCGGATCTGAGCGACGACTCCGACTTCAGCCCCGGGGAGAAGGGACACCGCAAGTACCGCGAGTACAGCCCCGGCTACTCCGTGAGTAAACCAGT